GGGGGGGGGGGAGGGGTACTTAAGGGGAAATAAGGATACGTAGAGGTATTTTTAAATTAAAATTTTAAAAAATTACTATATATAAATACACACAAACTTTACGGGACGAAAATAATTTAATACTTTTATTTCAATACTTAAAAAACAAAAATTTACATTTTTTTGAACGATTTACGTAATTTTTCAATAACTTTTATTGATTCTTCGCTCGAAATTGATAACACTTGCTCTTCTGTGTCCCCGTTGTCTCCTATAGATAGTATTTCACTATAGGCATCACCGTCTTCTTGTATTATTTATGGAAGGCCAGAGTTTCTTCTCTCCGATTTAATCCATTATTTCATCAAGCCTTCATTTCCTTCATCATCGCGAACATTATTTTTAACAGTTGTTCAGGAAAACTTTGAAAAGTAGGATTATACGTTTTTTGTATGTAGCGAATAAACCCGAACTGGTTAGAATTTGTTTCAAAACGAGGATCCCCTTCCTTAGCAATACCCTTAATCAATTTATTACACACCTTTTTACTAGTTTGGGAGCTATTTTTAATAATAAATAATTAAAAGAACAACACAAGTATAACAAAAATAAATGCGAAATTTAATAATAGTGCTAGAACGTTAATTGCAATTAGAGATAGAGAATTAAAGAGATAGGACAGTTTTTTTGGTGAAAACTAAAAGAATGAAATAAGATATTTATAATTTTAAGATGGGTCCAAAGTATATTTGAAAAAACTTAAGGGTTAAAAATATAAATTACGGGATGGAAGGTGGGATGCTAGGGGGCTAGAGAGGCAAAAATAGTCGTTTTTGGCCACTGCCAACGATTATTTTTTAAAAAATAATCCTTGGCTAACGGTACAAAATCGGCTACCTTTAAAAAAAAAATTAAGGGTACCGCGTTGGGTACCTTAAAGGTACGGACCCATACGTTTCTCATTTTGTATCTTGATTAATTGGATCGTTTCTTTATGGATTCCTATCCCAAACTCTTCGAGATGTGTTTCCGAGTATTCCTTGATCATTTCATCTAAGAAGAGGAGTTCCTCTAATTCTATGAATTTTTCTAGAAGAAAGCTAAATACAAGAAAAGATAAGAAGAGATGCATTCGCCCCCTATATATTTGATACCTTCTCCTACAATGAAACTAATAACCCCAACCCGTTAGTCATCCCATCAATTACTCGTCAGTTCTACTTGTATTTTTTTGCGGTACCCTCCCGGTCCCCGTTCCCTTTACCCAAATTCCCTATCCCTACCCCCAATACGGAACGGTACCAGTACCGCTTTGGATACTTCCCTCACCTTAGATAGCCCTACTTTAGACCCACATGTTGAAGTTAATTATAAGTTCAAAAAAAAAAGGAATTCGTAAATTTAGCTATTCCTTAAACAAGGGTCCTAAAAACGGCTATTTATGTACTTCGCCGTTTTTGCTAAGAGATATGGGCTATTTTCGTCTCGGTTACCTACTAAAGCCCAAGACCAATGGTTCAACAGCCCAATTAAGCCTCTCAAGAAGTTGCTGGGGGACTGGCCCTATGTAGACTGGAAAGTGGAAACATAAAAGAGAGAACGGGGTTTTTGGAGGAGAGACTAGCGGGGAGGAGTCGAGGGGGTTTAGTAGAAATGGCGAAGTCCTGTAAGGGCCTTGCTATGGAACTCGTCAAGTGCCTCAGCGAATCCGATTGCGTTAAGGTATCCTTTTTTGCTGTTTTCTCGTAAATATTTGTTAATTTCTGTAGTTCCTGAAACTCTAAAGGATCATCTGGTTTGATCTTTTAGGTTGAGAAGAAACCTTTCAGGGAATGTGCAAAAGAAAAGAGTCCATTAATTCCCAGTGAATGTGTAGGACTAAGGGAAACTTACTTCAATTGCAAGAGAGGACAGGTATACTTTCTTTTCCCCTTAAAAATATTGAACCTAGAAGTTGAGATCCTTTTCCCCATTCCGTGTAAAATATCAGTACATTATATTTTACTGCTAGTTTTTTCACCTGGCATGTGCTTTCCCGTGCTATTATCTTTAAAACTCTTCATGTATGCTAATTGCTATGATCACATGAACTTGTCTTGTATAGCTTTTCTGTGTCTGGACTTTTAATTTTTAGAAGAGTTAGTTATACACTAGTCGCTTGATGCAAAAATTCTCTAGTTTGATCTTGGGAAATGGAAGAAGGAAATGTTTTTTTTTTGGATAGTTACCAAGCGCTGCTGGAAATATAATGTCAAGATTGATAAAGAAGTGGTTAGAGCGCATTCATATAGTCAAATCTAACTAGGGTGTGCTTGAGGCCTAGTTGATTGATTAATTGATGTTTGTTGAAAGTAAATTAACAAATACACTCTAGCATCAATTCCTCCTCCCTTCCCACTAGGTCCTCCAAAAAATAATACTCTATATGTATTGGTCAATTTTGATCATTTTGCCATCTTTTTGTTATATAAAACCTACTGGTAATTGTTTATATTTTCATTCTTTGGTTTGACGTTTGGGAAAAATATCCAAACTAGAATATACCAATGCAAAATTTTCTCCTTAGATAATGCACTTAGTCTCAAATATTTCAAGATCATAGAAGATAAACAATATGCCAAATGATTGTAGTGGTATACTTCAAAGACAGATAAAAACAATTCCAATGGAAATTTAAATTTCTCCATCACAAGTCTTCAGATGACTTAAAGGTACCAACACATAATTTCAACAAAAAAAATTTCTTTACGTCATCACACTATAGCCAAGTGCAAATCCATTAAATAGCCATTAGATGAGTAAATGAGTCATCAAATATAAACAAACTAAATATTCAAAATTTCTTTCTGTACAAGAGTCTCTACACATAGAAATATTGCACTACATAGACCTAATATTCCTAGTTTCTCTAAATGCACGAGTCTTTATATAAAGCGAGGTAGTACAAAAGTCATAAGATAGCCAAGACTACAAAATAGAAATAAACTTTATAGAAAGGTTGTTTTCCTAATAATATTGGTATATTTATATTTCATATCATCTTTAAAGTAGAGCTATAACTCTATTGACAAAGATCAATATCGGAAAGGTCTGCGTACACACTACCCTCCTCGGACCCCACTTGTGAGGCTTTACTAAATATGTTGTTGTTGTTATTTTAGTCGTTTCATCATGTATGATCACTTTGTAGTTGTTCTCACCTTTATCTTTGGTCACCTCAATTATGCAAGATTGCTAAGCTAGAAGCATGTGTTTGAGTCATTTTACTCTTTATCTCATTAAAAGATGTTTCTTTCAACTGCATTTACTAACTCATCAATGGTTGAATGGGCCAATTGATATTGAAGAGATTGAATAACACCAAAGAATTTGAAGTTTAAAACATTCAAAATCTTAGCGGTTTATAGCATGGCCAAATATCAAATTCACCTTGTCAAGTGGCTTCATTTAATTTCAAATCATTGATATTAATGTCAGGTCTTGCATTATCTTATTAATTAAAAAATAAGAGCTATTCGCTTTGAAATTGACTATTTTGATCTAATAGTTGAAAGACCCCTATCTATCAAGACAAACTTTGGTGGTATCTTTAGTCATGGATAATATGTCTCGTTTTCAAAGTTACTGCAGCTTGATTTTTTTCTAATTCATTTAGCTGCCTCTTTGACAAGGAGGATTCTTATCTTTCCTAAAAATAATTCAATTTTATTTTGATCAAATCTATGGCAGCAACAACAACTATAAACGTAAGTTTTGTAATGAAGTTCTTGCTTTTGCATGATCTTAATGGGTTGGGCTCTTGAATACAGAGAGAAGATATCACCTCTCATATAGGGTATTGGTTTAATGGTAAGAGTACAACACGTATTGTGTGGGTTAGTCACACGTCACGAGTGAATCCCGTCATAGATATAGCAGTTTGAACCGTGCGCTATGCCTTCAGGGATTTCTCGGTTATATAAAATAAGATAATACCTTTCATATTTATATGATGGGAGGAAACTATTTTCTCATCAATATGAACATAGTTAAATATATTTAAGAACATTGGATTTGAATAGACTATGCCCCGCTTAATCATTGATGGACATAATTGTAGTCTTTGCCTTTTGTTTCCTCCGTCAAATAATGCTTTATAATCTTGGTATGTCCTAAAGGCACCTTCTTTGCTACGTCGATAAAGAATTGTCGTTGACGTGTCTGCAACACAAGCTAAAGTTTGAATATCCACTCGAAGAGAAAGAGGACTTTCTTTTTAAGATTTTTCTTAAGATAAAGTATTTATTAATAAGTAGTAGCAAGAGGGTAAAATTACAAAAGTTAAAGGAGCGAGCTCCCAACTAATTACATTTTCTGAGAACTCAAAAGCTTCTTCCTATATCAGATTAATATCAATTTAAATTCGTTTTCTCCCAACTCTTCTCGTAAGACTTGATAACGTATCATCAAATCTTGCCGGTAAAGTTGGGAGAAAATGAATTGAAATCGGTATCAATCTGGTAAAGAAAACTCTTTTGAATCGTCAAACGAATATTCGATATTTAGCTTGTGTCGTGGACATATCAATAACAACTCTTTTTCGGCATATCAAAGAATGTGCTATTAGGACACATATAAATGCTACAAAGCCTCATCTAATAGGAAAAAAAAATAAAAAGGTGAGGCTCCAATTCTCTCTATTAATAATTGAGTTGGATATGCTCTATTCAAATCCAAGTCTTTAGATATGTTTAATTATGTTCATATTGATGAAAAATAGTTGTTTTTATAACAAATTTGAAATGCAGTATCTTCTCCTTGAAGAACAAAAGTTCGACCCATATAGATCACACAAAAGTAAGAATTTCTTTAGAATTGTTATGTTTATCGCTGCTATTGCACGCCCTATATTTGATCAAAATAGACTTGAGTTGTTTTCAGTAGAAGAAACATGAATCTTCTCTCGTGATCAAGGAGGCAGCTATCGAGTTGCAGAAAGTTTGGAAATGAAACCTATTTTTTCCGTGACTAAAGATATCATTATGGCTTGCTTAATTGCAAAATGTTCTTCCAACGATTAGGTTAAAATGGCTAATTTCATATTCAAATGTTCTTATTTTTATTCAACAAGATAATGTTGGTCCTTACATTAATGTCAGTGGTTTGGGATGTAATTAAGTTGCGTGACAAGGTGATTTTTATTTTCAGCTATGCGTTTAACCTCCCAATATTCATATCTAAATGTTTTAGACTTTGGATTCTTTAGAGTTGTTCAATTCCTTCAATATCAACGACTCCTTAAACGATTGATGAATTAGTAAATGCAATTGAAACATCTTTTAATGAGATGAATGTGGAAAAACTCAATCACATATTTCTAACTTTGCCTTGCATGGTTAGCTAAAAGGCGGGAACACCAACAAAGTGCTACACATTTAGAAAAAAATGACTAGAACGAGAATGAAGTCTTCCTGTTCAATTTTGTTATGATGTTAATGAAGCTATAACGCTACTTTAAAGATGATATGGGATATACACATGTCAATGTCGTTAGGAAAATTGCATTTTTGTAAAGTTTGTTTCTATTTTTTAACCTTGGCCATCTTGATGCTTTTGTATAGCCTCTCTTTTTGTATATGCTCGTGCATTTAGAATTTTAGAGAAGCTATCAACATTAAGTCTATGTAAATTTATATCTCTATTTGTAGAGACTTGTGTACGTAAAGAAGTTTTGAATATTAAGTTTGTGTTTATCTTTGATTGTTTTACATTTACTCATCAATTGGTAATTTAATAGATTTGCGCTCGGATATAGTGTGATGATGAAAGGGAAAATTCTTTGTTAAAATAATGTGTTGGTACCTTTACATATTCTAAAAACTCGTGATGGAAATTTACGATTTGCGTGGAGTTGATTTTCTGTCCTTGGATACTTTAAAATCATTCCGCCAGAGATAAGCGTGTATTTTTGTCTTCTATGATCATGTAATAGTTGGGAGTTGCACATTGTACGAGGAAAACTTCTTTGTGTTGATATTCAAGTTGTTGGAGGACTTATTCCCGAACTAGGAAATGGACCTGCAATTTGCTTGTTCTGGCAAGTTGTTTTGGTGCATTATCTATTCGAGTAACACATGATCATCTTCTTGGTGCCAATTATTTTTGTGGAGAAGCAAGGAGTAATGTTTTCCATGTTTGTGCATTAATTTATGACGTCTGATTAAGGGGAGTCTTGGAGCAATGGTAAAGTTGTTTCCGTGGGACCTATATGTCACAGGTTCGAGCCGCGGAATCAACCACTGATGATTGCATCAGGGTAGACTGCCTACATCACACCCACTTGGGGTGCGGCCCTTCCCCGTATCCTCCGTGAACGTGGGATGCTTCGTGCGGGGCAACCCTTTTTGTGACGTGAATACTATAATGATTTATCTTGGCCTTGGTATATCATGCATTTGTTTAGGTGTGCATATTTCACTGTTTAGGTAGGTGTTCAAGTACTTTAGTCTTACAATGACAATTCTAGAAGTTGTTCTTATGATGTAATGCAGAATTTTGCATTTTTGTGTTGACTTATAAAAAATAAAACTGATAGAAGTATAAGTTTATTACGCCGGAGGATCTGATGGCCCATGTGATTGTCAAAGTAAACGCATGTGAACCGCGGTTACTTTTGTGCTGATTCCCATATAACCTTAAATAAAATTACATGCTTCCTGTCAGTTGGATCCGATATTTGCACTGTGATATTGACTATCTTGTGCTTGTCAACACACTTTCTGACCGATAATTTTCCTCTTTCAGGTGGACATGAGAGCTCGAATTCGGGGAAATAAGGGCTATTAATTGGTAGTGCCGGTGCGAATTCCACATATGGGAAGTATGATATGTTCCTGACTGGGCTGCATGTGTTGTACTTGCAGTGTCTTTGTACAGATTGCAATCGACAATTTTCTGAGAGATGGTACACACACAAGCTTCTTGGACACAGTTTACTTGACAGACTTTGTATTTGGTGCTTTGGACACTTCTTAATTTTGAATAACGTTGATATTGGATGAGAAGTTGTGGAAGAGAGTTTAATTCTCACTTCTCATCATGAATGATTAATCTGTTTTTCTTTCACTGATGTGCCATGTTGGAGAGACGATTTGTCTATCTATTTCTTAATAGAAGTTCTTGCTCTGATTATATGTCCTCAATTGAATAAAATGAGCCAAAGGTAGTGGGAGGAAGGGAAAAAGTTAAATTAATTGTTGGATTCACTCTTCGAGATTCTAAAAAGGGAGATACGAGATATGTTTTTAACAATGGGTGAATGAACTTTGAGAGACTGAGGGAACTCCCTCGTGTTGCCAGGAAACAAAGGCTTGTTTTGGATCTTAGTTGCTGGGAATAGATGGTAATTTATGGCATTCCTTGGCAAGCACTCCCCAATTCTTGTATTATATGCTGAAGGTCAGATGTCATTATAATGGTTGACATATTTTCAGATTTTAATTTAGTGCTGATGATGGATTAGTCTTATAGTGGGAGGGAGAATATCAGAGTTTGCCAAGGGATGCTATATGATTTTTGATGTTGAATTCATTTTGCCCAGGAATGTCTGTCGTCATAATAATGTCACAAAATGAGAATTTTACATTGACGGAGCCAATTTCTGTATATAATAAGAAATTTCTCGTACTTAATAAAATAAGTTTTCTTCAGCATATTATAAAAATATAGAATATGATGCAAATTACAGAAAGTGCATAATTTTGTTCCTTCCTATACAATATTTGAAACTTATTTACCAAAATTGTTCTTAGTTTGTATATTACTCACCATAAACAAAGATTGATTACAACTTATATACAATCGATTATTAATACATTAAATTAGGAGATTCAGTTACACTTTTCCTTTTTTGTCTCCTTCTCTCTTTCCCTGTTCTCTGCCACCTCTCTCTCCACCCAAAAGCATTTGAATATTGAATCTACAAATGTTATTGATGCCTTCCTTCATCGGCGGTGGCACGATCTCCGCGAAGGGGTTCAAAAAAAAAAAGTTAAAAAAAATTGTAGCTAGTGAGAATTGAACATATGACCTTACAGAGGTTTTGAACTCCTTGACTACTAAGCTACACTTTTGGTCTATGTCAAGGGAATTCAAAACTTAATATGTAGAAGTAAAAAACAGAGTTTGCCTTATATATACAGTGTAATTTTTCGGCGGGGTCCGCCCCTAAATCCGCCCCTGCCTTCCTTAGTTTCCGAACAAAGTCAATAAATTCATGTTACCAAACAAACTAATGTTTCAGCGATAACTGTTTCACAAATGTTACCAATGCCTTCCCGTGTTTTTGTTTCAGCAAAACATAATGTGGACCCGAAAGAGAGATATTGATTCTTTCTATCTTCTTTTCTTTTCCATAAATAGGTATAGGGCTGAAAAGATGAATCTTATGTTTCTGCAACCTACAGTATGTAAATTCTAACAACTCTAGCAACATATAAACTAAAAACAAATTTCGTACAAATTTCGAGAGTGTTTGGCTAAGCTTATAAGTTGGTCAAATTAGCTTATAAATATTTTTTGGCTTATCTATGCGTTTGGTAAATAACAAAAGTGAGTATTTATAGGCCAAATTAAGTTATAAGCCATAAGTTGTCATTCCCAACTTATGACTTTTTAACTTATAAGCACTTTAGTTTGACCAAAACTTTTACTATTTTGTCCATATTATTATTATTATATAATTCTGAAATATATTTATTTTAATTAAACTAACTCTATTCTTCACTTAACTCTTTTCCGGGCTTATTTGCCAGAAACATTGTCGACCATCGTGGGTTGTTCTAGTGGTGAGCACCCCCACTTCCAACCAAGAGGTTGTGAGTTTAAGTCATCCCAAGAGTAAGGAGGCTAGTTCTTGGAGGGAGGGAGCCGAGGGTAGTTCTTGGAGGGAGGGAGCCGGGGGTCTATCGGAAACAATCTCTCTACCCCGGATAGGGGTAAGTTCTGCGTACACACTACCTTTCCCAGACCCCACTAGTGAGATTATATTGGGTTGTTGTTGTTGATTGCCCACCATCGTGAACAACAAAAAGGTGTTTACCCGTCGACATAAATCAATCAAATAAATTTGAGTTAGAAAAATTCTATCTTCTGTAAATCGACTTTCTTCATCTCTTTGAAACGTGGTTGTTTTGCATCATTCAAAATTCTATTGTGAAATATGAACTAAATTATCTATTTTTAATTGCATTGTGTTGGTAATGAAAAATGACGATGTAATAATGATCTTCTTATTGTACTTTAGCTCACTTTTGCTAAAATAATATATACTTACTAAATATTAAAATTTAATTTAATCAATTTTGAACCTAAAGTAAATTCATAAGTTAGTTTATACTTCAATCAATTTAGAATTTGAAATCTTGCATAATTATATATTTAGTAGTGCAAACAGTTTAAGGGGCATTTAAGTCATTACATCACAAGAAAATACTTATCAGCACCTATTTACCAAACACTTAGTTAGCTTATTATCAGTTTCATCACTTAAATCCAAATACATAACTGCTTATTTATTAAATCAGTTTCAGCACGTAAAAGTACTTTTCAGCACTTGATGCTTATTAGCCACTTTGAATCAGCTAAGCCAAACATGCTCTTAATATAAATTTGATATATCTACAATAATATATATACTATAAATAAATTTAATACAACTAATTATATAATATACAATTTATTTACAACTTATCTATAATTTTCATACATTATTTTTATCCAATTAAATACATCTACAATATCATACAACTTAAATACAAATTTCATATAAATTTTATATAATATATATTTTGTATATGATTTATATATATTTTACATGTGGTGTGTTCTTCTTCCTCTCTGAAATTCCAATCAAAACTTTCTCTCTTAAAATATAACTTTATGTAACTTTCATACAATTTCATACAACTTTATGTAAAAAGAAAGTATTTATAACTTAAATATAAATTTCATACAACGATTCATACATTATACAACTATTTTCAATTTCTATATAATATTTAAATAAAAAAAATATAATAACAAATAAAATATAATTTAAATATAATTTACATACAACTATAATATAATTTTGTAACTATTGTATGCCTTGTGTTCTTCTTCTATTGATGAATTCCCTAAAAAAAGGAGGATTAAGAGGAGAGAAAAAGGAAGTAAGAGAAATTGGGAAAGAACAAAGAAGGAAAAAAGAGAGAGACGGAGAGAGACAGCAGTGATGAGAAATAATTAATTTTTTATTCAATTAATAATATAAAAAAAAGATAGTCGTTAATATTAATTTGTATATAATTGATAAACTTGATTAAGAATGTTAATAAAGTTTTCGTAGTATAAGAAGTAAAAATCGATAATGCAAATAACTCGGTTGCTGTACCCGAAAGAAGCCCAATAACAGAAGAATGTAAACAGATAAAAGAAAATGACGAAGGCGTGGATTGCAGGAAGAAGCGTTCCTCTTCCTATTATCGGAGACGCATTAGGGATTTCTGATTCATCAGTTCTACTCCGACTATGGCTAAACCAGCAGATACCGCCGCAACTGCGACACCTCAATCACAACAAACAGTAAACGATTCGCTGCAGAATGTAAACAAACAGTCGGAATTTCAGCAACCACCAACTCATTCCCAGGATGACTCAATTGCCAATCTCCGCAAACTCACCGACTCCCTCTCAGCATTCCAGCGCTGCTTCGCTGACCTACATCAACACATTGATTCCATTCGAACCGTAATCGACTCTATGCTTCCCCCACTTACAACTAATACTACTCCTTTACCCACGTCATCACCGCCACCAGCCCCAGCCGCAGAGCCAGAACCATCTTGGGAATCTGATCCCTCAGAAGGAGAAGGAGAAGAAAAAGAAAAAGAAAAGGAAGAAGAAGTGAAATCCCCTCCTCATCCAGAGCTGAAATCCGCTCATCGTGCAGAGCTGGAGAGCCTTTGCAAAACGATGAGTGGCCGTGGTCTACGGAGGTACATGGGAATGCATCTCTCAGATATAAAAGGACTGCTCGAACAAGTCCCTAAGGCATTGAGACTCTCCCCCAATCCAGCAAGGCTTGTATTGGAATGTGTCGGCAAGTTTTATTCTCAAAAGGGCAGTGTGTTTGTTAAGTGCTCACATATGGTCCGTTCAAGGCTGGCTTCTGTATTGGTTTTGGAATGCTTCTTGTTGTTGGGAATCAACGACGAGATTGAGAAAAGGGTGAAGCAAGAGGCAGAGCAGGCAGCTTTAGCATGGAGAAAGAGGTTGATTGCTGAAGGAGGTGTACTTAAGGCTAAGGAAATTGATGCCCGGGGTTTGTTGATGCTTATAGGGTCTTTTGGGATTCCAGGACGATTTAGAAATGAGGATATCAGGGATTTGCTTCAGGTAAGTTGCATCAAGCGGTATTATCGTGCCCTCCGGAGATCAAATGTCCTCGTGGCAAAGATTCCAGGTCCTTTTTCATGAATCCAATTTGTCGTTAAGCTACATTTGCATTTCATCATTTGCTATTCATGTGAGATGGTGTGTGCTGTTAACAAGTTTAGTGTCGTTCCCTTTAGTTGGGTTTGATTGAAGCAAAATTATATAGAAGCAACAAATAAATACCTAATGTACAGTGGTGATAACAATCTATGGGAAAACATTGTACCTTTAGAAGTGGTTTCATTTGGTTGGATTGCCGTGCATGAAGCTTCCCTAACTCAGCATTACCTTAAAGAATGTAAATGATTTTGACTCTATGAAAGACTTCCTGAGCTCCTTGCATACTTAGAGGGAGTAACACATCTGCTGTATTTTTGGAGACCATCAGCACTTGCTTGGTACTGTTCTTTTGGGGGGAAAATGTGCTTATCAAACAAAAGAAATAAAAAGGTTTTCCTTCCCTTCTATTTACTGGTGTCTACCACAATTTTTTGTTGTTTGCTTTCCTCCTGCTCCCGCCCTGCCCCTTTTATTCATCTCACTAACTTCAAAGGCACTTTTGCCTTTTCCATCATCATGCCCCAAAGAGACACCAATAGCTCCCACCCTGTTCATCTATCCGATTTGGAACACCAATTTTTATTTGAGATTTCACAAAGAGTTGTCTGAGCATCAGAATCCCCATCTTCTAGTACTTTTGGACCATAAGTAGGTCTTTGAGGACAACAGCTTCCCGGATCCTCTAAGGTCCTCCTACAGTTGGTCCCCAATGAATCATAATCCATGATGATGATTATATTTTTGTATAAGAACATAGCTATCATTCGTTCGATTCATATCTTTCTTGGCTAAGATTTCATGCATAGAACTTCTTAAACGGAACATTTTTTTAGAATTGGTATTAATATTGAAACTAAGAAAATGCTGAAATATGTATATGTGAGCAAACAACCAAAAGAGAAATCTTTGCTAATCTTGCATGGAATCTAAAACTTTTTTAAAAAGATCTTGTGCATAAATGAACAAATCATGCAAAACTGTTGACTCAAATATATGTGATAAGGTTAATTGGGAATAGTAATACTGTATTAAACAATTGCTAGTTAACCGGAAGGATCATGCTTACAATTTTTATTTCTTCATTTGCTTCGTTTGTGTTTTTTGGTAAGTGTTAGAAGGCACTCAACTTATTGAGCTAATTTCAATGAATTTAAAAGTTTGTATACATTTTGTTTTTGCTTCTGCTTCGTTTGTGTTTTTTGGTAAGTACTAGGAGCCACTCAACCACTTGAGCTAATTCGATGAATATAAATGCCTGTAAATACAGTTTTTTCTGATAAACAAAAAAGAAATTTGTATACAAATTTTGAATAAGACAATTGAATAAGTTGTTTATTAGTGCGGATACGTGCTTTTATGTGGAAGTGACTGGTTTATAGGCCAAAGCATAATCTGGTGTTGATAATGATAATATCAGCCAGGGATTTGAAGATGATAAGGATGATCATTTGGTCTGGGCTGTGCAGAAAATGGCTAATTTACAGTTAAATCTTGCTATATCTTCTTGGCTTTGGTGGATAATCTTCTTGGCATTGAAAGGTTATTTTGGGGGTCCAAGGTGCCATATAAAATGGCATAATTTTGGTGGGTTTTGGCTCATGATGGTCGTTTAACTCAAGCAAATATGCAGAAAAGAGGTGTTCATATGTGCAACAGGTGCTTCTTTTGTGAAAAGAGATTTTGAAGACAGTAAGCATCTGTTATACACTGTGAAGTCACTGGGCAACTTTGGCAGTTATTTTTCAATATTTTTGGGTTCAAATGGGGCATCCCAGCAGGAGTTTCTTAATAGCTGGTTGTTCTACAGAGGCAGCAAGGAGCTGAAAAAGCTTTGGAGATCTATTTCAGGTTGTGTTCTTTTGGACTATTTGGAGAGAAACCAGAGATATTTGAAAACAAAGGTGTCTCTATCCATATGTTGAAGTTTAGATGTTTGTGTAACTTAGCCTCTTGGTGTAATCTAGCTGATATATATGATGAGGGTAAGTTGATAGAGTTTATTAGCTCCCTGCAGGAACAACAATGATGTAATCTTTGGAAGCCGAGCACTATCTTAAAGCCGGTGGCTTTTAGTTTCAATAAAATTTTACCTTATAAAATAAAAGAGCTCTAGCCAGGGTGGAGGATAATGCTTACTTGAGACTCAGAGACACAAATATGGAATGGAGCGAAATTTAATGTCTGAAATTGAGTGACAAAAAATTAAAGCATTTGGGGAATATCTTGGCGTCATTATTGGAGAGAAAAATTAACTAAGCTAATAATTGAAACAGAAAATCTTATGGACAGGAACAAGCAGTGAATACTGGGACGGGAGAATGTTTGTCGTTTCTTTCTTTTCACATTCTATGGGGCAACTTTTCAATTTAGGGAAACTTAAAGTTCAAGTCAAGGACACCTTTTCAACCTCACAATCTGCTCGGTAGTCCACCTTCTGATTATTTGTTTTCGTAGTTCGTGGTTTCAGAGATGAAGCCTCATTATGTGATTGCATCTTACTATGATTTATTTTTCAGTTTTGCATTCCTCTTCTTTATCACAAATATTACATTTGACCTTGTCGTAGTTGCTAATTTATCTGCCTGCTTAACACTGGATTATGTAAATCTGTGACAGAAATAATAGAGGGGATGCTGAAGCAAAAGATGGAAGTTGACGCTGTTCATATTGCCTATACTTTTGGATTTGAGGACAGATTTAATCCTCAGAGACTTTTGACATCATTTTTACTAGATACTAAAGAGTCATTGAAGAAAATGAAGGAAAACTCACATGGTTCACATGCTGCTGTGGTAATTCTTGAATTTCATTCCAGCACTAATAACCCTCCCTATCTGATTTCTCTCTCGGTCTCCTCAAGTTAACCATGCATTTTGTTATGATTAAGCAGAATGAAGAAAAAAGGAAACATTTGTTTGCTCTGAAATCTGTCATCAAATGTTTGGAACGCCATGATACCGATCCTTCAAAACTTATTCCTGGATGGCAAATCAATGAGAAGATAATGAAGTTGGAGAAAGAAATTGCTGAATTAGATAAGCAGACAGGTGGGAAGATGGCACAAAAGAGAAAACTTGATGAAACTGAGTCGTCGAGAAGGTTCAGAAATAAAGAAGCAAAACAGTCGCGTATTCCACCATGGCTACGGCAGCAAAGAGTTGTTAATCATGTTGATAGTGACTGCACCTTGCTAGAACGTCAAAACGCTGGCCATGTTCATGGTTATACTGTGTCCTCATCAGTATTGCACGGACCTGTTGCAGGCTCGATGCATGAAAATGTTGCTGACTCCCTTGCAGCAACTGTGGCCATGGGTCGAGATGGAGCAAGGATATTAGCAAGTGTCGACGGTATTCGAGCAGGTATATCAGAAGGCATGGATATTGTTCAGCAAGGAGCTTCATATGCTGGAGGTCATGGAAGGACTCTAGTTGATAGTACACCTGAGCAAATAGGGAGTCATACTGGTCAGTTATATGGATGGTGTGGTAATGCAGCCGTGTATGACGGACTGGCCTCCTGCAGCTATGCTTATAGGCCATCATCATACTTGGAAGGTTCTACGGGTTTGCCAAACACCCAACCCAGTGATGCTTATAGATCACCACCATACTTGGAAGGCTCTACGGGGTTGCCAAACACCATACACAGTGATGCTCATAGGCCACCACCATACTTGGAAGGTTCTGCGGGTTTGCCAAATGCCATACACAGTGATGCTTATAGGCCACCACCATACTTGGAAGGTTCTGCGGGTTTGCCAAATGCCATACACAGTGATGCTTATAGGCCACCACCATACTTGGAAGGTTCTGCGGGGTTGCCAAATGCCATACCCGGTGATGTTGCTGGCCGGAGCTCTGCATCTGATATCTACCAGGTTGCTGATACTGTTACAGCAAGTGAACTATACAGGAACCGTGGCTCACGAGCAGTTGATGTTGTTTCATCTGCTGCGTCTGCTCATCCTTCGTCTTACTTGTACTGGCCGAGATAGTTTGGCCAGTCATTACTTGCTACCTTCGTTTCCTTTTTGTAGTATAGCCAATCTAGAAGTGATTTCACTATGGTCTCTTAGGACACGCAGTCTCAGTAATGTTTGTGTTCATTGGCTACTAAAAACCTTGGCCAATTTCCTAGGCTTAGCATAGTGATGTCTCAACTTTACCTGGTAAAAATTCATTTGTCTGGAATAAAAACCTTGCTTTTGTACTCCACGCCTTTGAAGCTTGTGTTGTATTGCTGAACAATTAATACACAAATGGGTTTTGATTTACTGGAGTTAGTGTATCTGTCATTTTTCCCCTTATGAAGACCTTGGTCATCTTCCCTTTCTTTCCTGACATGTTTTGAGAAGCTTACTAACGATATGTAAAATTGCGTAGGCATTTCATTGAAGTCAGGCCAGCTTCCTGCAGATTTAAATATTGGTGATTACGATGTTGCTGCTAAAGGACGCCAACGAAGACAAGATGGTAACAAATGGCGATGATAAAGCTAATGAGATGCAGGAGGAAACTTCAACTGAACAGAGAACTGACGGTCCTACAGATATGGAGTAGGACAAGATGACTTTCTTTTCTCTTATGTTACTGCCTCTATCATCTGGAACTGGTTGGTATTTGCATTAGTTGACAGCAAGAATATAATTGTGAGTGACATGCAGTAGCTTGTCACTGTTGCAGTTGTTACCTATTGTATTATATTGTTACTTTAAATATAATATTTTGATTATTACTCAAATTTTATTGTATCGTATTATTAAAACTGTCGTTAATATCACTGTAAGTATCTAATTTTTTACCGTGTTTAAATTTTTCCTCACTCATCTCCCTAAATACCTAACTTTTCACTTCCCCAATAAAACCCTCCAACTTTCACCACTCACGTCCCCACTCACATCCCCACCTTCCCCGTCATCTAAGACCACCATCAAATCCCTCATAAAAAAAACACTACCAAAACTCCTCCAAAGCAGCCGAGAAAAGCTCAAAAACGGGAGCAATTTTCAGCCATTAAAACAGCCAAAAAACGTCACTAAAACCACCCCCCAAAATCAGTTTCATCTCCACCCCAAAATACACCATGAAACACCTCAAAATCCACACTAAAGAGCAGCAAAACAAGTTGTGAAAACAGCTAGGAAGAGCAGCGAAAATCAGCTGCAAAACAATCCAAAGCGCTGCCCCTTTTCTACCCAAAATCAACACCAAAACACACCTGAAACCAAGCTCTAAACCCAACTGAAAAACCCAGCTGAAACAGTCCCTTTTTCCACCCAAAACAGTCTCAAAATCAGCATCCAAACCCAGCAAAAACAGCTCTGTTTTCCAGCCGAAAACCCAGCCAAATCAGCCATGAAATAGCCTTGAAACCAATTGCTTTACCTCCACGAAACCTAGCAAATCCTAACCAAAAATGGAATAGATTGAGTGAAGCTTTCTGTTGAGTCCGGTTTTCGATTTTCGAGAGCTTTGTTTGGGTATGTAGGCGAGGTTGTCCGGTCGAGTTTTGAAGAAAGATCCATGGCCATTATTTTCATTGTATTACACATCCATCAATAAAGGTCCGATTTCTCCATGTTTATCTCTTTGTTACGAGTTTCTTTAAGTTATTCTACTTTTGATATTGAACGAATGAAATTCTTACTTTTAAGTGTTCATTTCGATTTGTATTATGCTTGTGATTGTACCGTCTCTGATTGATGAGTTGTTTATTTGTGAATTTATTAGGTATGTAGATGAACTTATTTTGTCTTTTATGAACACTTTCGGTTGATTAAAAAAAAAAATTCATGTGGTTTACAAAGTTTCCCTAATTTTGGGTCTTAAGTTCTTGAAGTAAAATAATATTTTCCTTATTGTGGCAAGAATCTGAAATTAAATTGTTAACTTTAACGGGCCACGAGACTTGCAATTAACTTGCTCTAGAATGATATTTGTTACTCTTGGGTAAGGGTGGCAAGTGGGCCGGTCCCGGGCCTAAGTGGACTAAGTGGGCCGGTCCAGACGGTCTCGGTCCCTGGCCGGTCCCAATTTAGATGGGTCAAACGGTTCCGGTCCCGGTGGTCTTATGGCAGGAATCGGTCCGGGACCGGTCTCACAAACTAATGGTCTCGGGCTAAACGGTCCCAGCCTGCGGGCTAAGTGGGTCCAACATATACTTTTTTTAAAAATTTTTTTATAGAAATTTGAGAAAAAAAGATGTTAATAAAAATATCTAAGGCAATTCCTTGTAAATTTTATTATAGAATTGTGACCTAAATTTTTTAATTCAAATTTAAAGAAAAAATATTGTAAAGATATATTCAAAGCAATGCGTTATAATTTTATTATAGCATTAAAAAAATATGGTAATATATTTCTTAGTCTTCCTCCCCCTATGGAATGAGCACAACAAGGTGCTAATACCACTATTGAGAAGAAAAACAAACTAATCAAGATGTGCCAAAATACAAGTTACATAATACATACTAATTTTTGTTCATACAAGTTATATGGTATCTCTTACAAACTTCATAAATCCATCAAGGTTCAGAGGAATTTTCGTTGGTGGTGGCGGAAAAGAAGCTTGGTCATCACCGCTTTCGGGCGAAGTAGCATCTTCCGCAAGTTCAGCTAGCATTTTTTCGTAAGCTTTGTCTATCTCTGGTTGTGATTCAGCAAGTTCAAAATTTCTTCTTTCCAAACGGATCCAATCTGTGAAAAGTACTAATTTTTCCAAGCTCTCCCTCATAGACGCTCTATAATCACCGAGTTGAAGTCTTGCTTGACTGAAAGCGCTCTCCGATGCCACTGTTGAAACTTGAATAGTTAAAATGCCTCGGGCCATCCTTGAAAGAACCGAAAAGTATTTTTCTTTGTCCTTCCATCATTCCAAAAGATTAAAGGAGTCGTCGGGATTCACTTCCTCAATTCCCTGTGACAAATAAATTTCAAGCTCATTTAGTTGTGAAAAATTACTACTACTAGAACCTTGAGAACCTCTAAACCCTGCCCAAGCACTAAGTGCTCTTACTCATGCAGTTCTTTTAGATGTTTGAGAATCAGAAGAAGAAGGAGTTGGAACATTTGGTCTAGCATGATCTAATGCAACTTGATAAGCATTAATTCTAATTGAGGCTATTGCTTCCGCAAGTTTAGACAACTCCTCATCTTCAAGTGCTAAACCTTTATAAAGAGTTTCATACCAAAATTGAGGACCTCCTAATTTCATACAAGGATTTAACAAAGCAGCAACACCATAAATAAGGGGAATAGGGAAGAAATATTTTTTAATTTTTTTCTCATAGAATCAATAGCAAGTTGATAAATTTTTCCACCCTCTAAAAAATTAGCAAACAAATTTACAAGGTAAGAGCCATTTTAACTTTTTCAATTTCAATATTTAAAATTTTCATACCATCACCCACAATTAAATGGTAAATATGACAAATACATCTAACATGAAAAATGTTACTAAATGCAAGACTTAGTGTAGTGGTAAGCAAGGCTATAACATTTGTGCTACTATTAGCATTATCCATTGAAACTGACATTATTTTATCACTAATGCAAAAATATCTATAAATATCCGTAACTGTGCTAGCAATAAACTGTCTTGTGTGACGTGAATTAATTATTCTATAAGCAATAATGCACTTTTGCATTATCTAATCATCATCAATCCAATGACTGGTAACAGTAAGGTAATCACAGTCGTTACCATTTCTACCAATATCAGTTGTAATATCAACACGATAATTTATATGAGTAAATAAATAGCGCAAATATTGTTTATATTTATAAATATCACTCTTTACGGTTGTGCGAGGAAAACCTTTATAAGTAGGATTAAAATAAATTCTAATATAATGCACAAAGTTAGGGTCAGAAGGAAAACTATAGGGTAAGCACATAACAATAACCATTTTTGCTAATTCTTCCCGATCTTTTTTTGGATCATAATATAAAATACCACAGGTAACAGTGTTAATTCCCGGTTGAAATTGATTTGACCCGGTACTAGAGTCAGCCTGACTAGGAGTAGGTACACTTGTCCCCTCGGCCAAAGCTTTGGAACGAAGATATTTGACTTTATCTTGAGGGTGTATCAATATGTGTCTAGCCAAGTTCCCGTCCCTCCCCCGCGATCCAAAATATTTAAAAGCTAACTCCTTGCCACAAGTTTTACACTTAGCCTTATTTTGTGGAATTAGTTGAATAAAAAATGGCCAAACAAGAGATGTTTCCGTCCGTTTGGTACGTTATCTAGAAAAAGTAGGGGCATTAACAGGAGTATCAGACGGGGCATCATTTGGATTATCACTAGTTGGGTTAACTTCAGGAGCATGACTAGTGGGTGTATCGTCATCCGGTTGAGTTTCATCAAAATCTATTTCCTTCTCATCATTTTCATCAATGGTTGGATTAGAATAAATAACATTCATTAATTCATGGTCTAATTGTTCACCAGCTCCAACATTATGGCAAAATTGACTCTCAGTAAATTATAATAAACTATTATTGCTATCAAGAATAGCAAGTGTAGGACGGATATGGGGTTTGGGCCGGGGAGCCGGGGGCAGTGGAGGAGGAACAGATTGGCCACTAGATTCGCTACTCTTGAATTTTCCCTTATTTTTACCAAAAGGGTTTTTAAGGAAGCCATCTTAATTAATCAAATAATAGAAAATAAATAAAACAAACAAAACTATAATATTAAAAATTATGAGTTGGAATGAGTTTACCGAATTGACTAACAACTTGTTGAAAATTTATTATTGTTGAAGACTTGAAGATTTCAATTCACCAATTTCATAATTGTTTCACAAATTATAACAATAAAGTAAGCAATAGTAGCAATTATAGAAGAAAATTAGAGAGAAGTTGAGAGAGATTGATGATTTTGTAAAAAAAATAAAAGAATGAGAGGGTATTTATAGTTAAAAATAGGAAAAATGTGTAATTATAAAAAGTTTGGGTTTAAAACAAAGTTGGGGGATCCGGTCCAGATTTTTCAAGTTTTTTTTTGAATTTTAACCGTTGAGACCGTTTGGGCCCGCCAAAGACCGGTCCGGTCCCTGTCCCAAACGGTCCCGGACCTAGCGGTCCTAAAGTGAATAACTGGCCCGGAAGACCGGACCAGGCCCACGTACATGGTTCTAACCGGTTCAGGCCCGTTTAGGCCCAGGAAACCGTTTGGTCCGCGGTCCCGGTCCCGGTCCTGGACCGGCCCACTTGCCACCCTTACTCTTGGGCTGTTTGCAAATTGTAAATTGCTTGTGTTTTTCTTGTGCTAATTGATTCATGTTATCGTGACCTTGTGATTTTGCATGTCTAATTCAAGACAAACCCTCCAGTAGTAACAATAAATACATAGATATTAAATAAGTTTGTCCTTTAAAAGTACACATAATTTGGATTGTTAGCTAAGAATTAATATGCCATCAGAACTAATGTTGTTGTAAGTCCTCCCATATTCTTTGCATAGATAGTCTTTATATAATTCACATCGCTAGTTGCTTTAGGCAAGTCTAATAAATATAACGAAAAAGGGTCGAAAATATACCTCTACTATTGAATATTGTTTAAAACTACCCTCTGTCATACTAATCGAGCAAAAATACCCCTCCCGTCTTACTATTAAACAAAAATACTCCCATTTTGACGGAAGTGCCACGTGGCAACAATTTGATACAATTAGTCCATCCGGGTTCTTTTATAATCTTACCCGACCCAATACCCTCAAACCCACTTAAAAAGATGACCCGATTAATACATGTCCAGCAAATAAGTCTACTTTTCTTTTTCTTTTG